GACCGAGATGTTGCCCGCGGTTTGGCGCAGCTCCCGGGTGATCATGGAGCTGCCGAGGAGGAACGGCTGCGTTGGGCGTGCGTTCGGGCTCACGGAAACGAAGAAGCTACTGCTTCCCTTTTTTTATATTTCTATAAATATGATCATATAGATATCATTCACAATCAAAGTACAAGAGAAGCGTTCAAGGGACAAAAACGATCGCATGGAACTCACATGACAGTTGTTTTTCCGGCGCCGTTGTGGCCGAGGAGTGCCATGATCTGGCCCTCGTACAGCTCGAGGTTGAGGTTGTCGACGGCCACCTTGGAGGCGCCGCGGTTCTCGTAGATCCTCCGGAGACCCACGATGCTGAGGCCCTTCTTGAAGCTCTGCTTGAGGCCGGGGTCGACGTCCAGGGGATGGACTGTGTCCTCTGCAGGAAGACAAGGAAGGTCACGATTTACTTCTGCTTTCGTTCGCGAGGGTTCGTTCCACCGCTTCTTGCTGATAGGAAAACTCGTGTCTAAACAAGAGGGGGGGGGGTCTAAAAAACACCTGAGTTCATTCTTTATGTATATTCATCACTTGTGTTAAAAATACTAATTATGACATGTCATATCGTGAGGCAGACCAAAACAACACTACTGTACTAAAACATTGCTATTCATCCTAGTCGGATATTTAGATTTAGATTTTGTAGGGAGTGGAGAGCCCTTGACTGATCGTACTCAGAATATAAATCCAAATAGTAAGAACCTTTCGATTTTGAAAACAAAAAGAACAAGTGGTCATATAAGCTGGTATAGATACCACACAAAAGGGACGAGCACTGCGTAACATACCGTCCAAACACCAATTCTTACTTTTCTTAAGGCCCGGTTCAGTATCGGCTGGTGCCACCCTGCTTCGCGCGCAGTTACAGCAGGAGGCTAGCAGGAAAGCAGAGAGAGTTAGTTGGGTTAGAAAAGCTTTTTCCTGAACACAGGACACTTGAATGCAGTTACGCTTTTATCTAAGTAGAACAGATGTTAGTATCCTTGCAGTCGCGTCCGTTCTGTAACAGGCAAATGTTAGAGTTACAGACTCATGCACGAATCACAGCTAAACATTAATGACATGCGGCGACCATGTTAGACGTCCAATCACGCAAGCTAAAGATTAATAAGAAAGAGAAAGAGAGAGAGAGAGAGAGAGAGAGAGAGAGAGAGAGAGAGAGAGAGAGAGAGAGAGAGAGAGAGAGAGAGAGAGAGAGAGAGAGAGAGAGAGAGAGAGAGAGAGAGAGAGAGAGAGAGAGAGAGAGAGAGAGAGAGAGAGAGAGAGAGAGAGAGAGAGAGAGAGAGAGAGAGAGAGAGAGAGAGAGAGAGAGAGAGAGAGAGAGAGAGAGAGAGAGAGAGAGAGAGAGAGAGAGAGAGAGAGAGAGAGAGAGGAAAGAGAGAGAGGAAAGAGAGAGAGAGAGAAGAGAGAGAGAGAGAGAGAGAGAGAGAGAGAAAGAGAGAGAGAGAGAGAGAGAGAGAGAGAGAGAGAGAAGAGAGAGAGAGAAAGAGAGAGAGAAGAGGAAAGAGAAGAGAAGAGAGAGAAGAGAGAGAAGAGAGAGACAGAGACAGAAACAAAGACAGAGAGAGAAAGTGATAGCAAAGAGAAGAGGAAAGAGAAGAGAAGAGAGAGACAGAGACAGAAGCAAAGACAGAGAGCGAAAAAAACAAACAAACACCAGAACCACGATGCCTCTCCCGCCACGATCTACCATGGAAGATGTTGAAAGTGAAATCGTTGGAGCGCTTGAGGGAGGCCTTGTCCGAGAAGGAGGCCTGGTGCAGCAGCGGCGGCCGCCCCCCCGTCGCCAGGGCCCGGAGAGTGCCTGCAAAGTGCCAAACTCGGGGATGAATCGCGGGGTGCCTGCTTGCTTGCTTGCTTGCTTCCTTGCTTGCTTAAACAAGCAGGTGAATATAAATGTGTATGTAATTGGGAATGATAACGAAAATAAGCACAATAATGATAATAATGATGATGATGATGATGATGGCAATAACAATAAAAAAAATAATGGCAATAATGATAGTACTATCAATAATTGAACTAACATTAATAATATCTATTACAATAATTATAATACTAATATGATAATAATAATGATAATCATAACAATAATAATAATAACAAAATGATACTAACAACATTAAAAATAATAATGACAGTAAAAATGATGGCGGCACTGAAAATAGTTCTGATAATAACAACGATAATCATAATCCTATTCGCAAGAAGGACGTGATGACGATAATGACAATAATTGTAAAAATAATGCAAATAATAACAACACTTAATTCCTTCTTTTTCTCCAACGTTTTCCAATCAGCTGTTAGACTGCAATGTCATTTTCATATGCTATTTTTCCCTAGTGATTGGCATGGAAATTATCTGTGTATTTTATTTATTACATTTATCTATCTGTGATTTATCATTTTGATGAAAAAATATGAAATAAATAAGTATAAGTTTTGTTCGGTAATAGTTTTCTCACAATGCGATGCTCAAGTTACTAAACAGATATATAAATACAGCAAAGTTATCTATACTATGTTCACCAGCATGTTGTGCAAATCAAATTATAAATGTTTATATGTTTCCTATTTCGTATCATTGAATTATGAAAAAAACATAATACTAACTCATTGGAAACATTCATAAGCTCCCTTTCTATACATATTTTTAGAGTATTTCATATAACCTAGACTACAAACGTATATTAATGAAATAAAACATTAATATACGTATAATTGTCCCTTCAACATTTTTTAACACATCACACATGAAAGTACAACAATACGGTCTCCTTTATACATTCCTCTCGACATTTTATGTATAAATACTGAACACTTAAATTTCGCTCTGTACTTCTTACTGCATTTCACATCACAAAAACTACAATAAAATTTTTAATTTTTCAGAATTTCTCTCAACATTTTATCAATAAATACTGATCACTTCGTTATCTCTCTGCACTTCTCATTGCACTTCGCACCATAAACTATAAAAATAAGATTAGTTTTTAAGAACGTCTCTCGATATTTTGTGTATAAATACTGAACACTTAGTTTTCCTCTCTGCGCTTCTCGCTACATTTCACATCAAGCGACCTTCACCCTTACCGTTCTTCAGGATGGAAATGACGACGGCCAGCACGAAGGAGATGAGCGTGTCCGCCAGCAGCATCACAATGGCCAGTCCCAGCGTCATATCTGTGTCTGAGATTTAAAAAAAAAGTATTATGTTAGTTTAAAAGGAGAGAATAGTTTGCCTGACCTATGACGTCACAATTCATCTTCAAATACTATGACGTATTAGTATGTCTTATGAATCTCAAACATCAAAGTTCATCTGCTTCATTTACAGTATGGTGTCAAAGATCAAAGTTCATTTTATAAATCTCTAGGTTTATTTTATGAATCTCCAAGTCCGTTTTATATATCTCTACCTTTAAAGTACATAACACTAATCGCTGACATCACAGCTCAAGGTTTAATCGTCAAAGTCCATCACAAAGTTTATCTTGTTAATTCTTATTTATTCTCATTATTCTTACCAATTAAGAGTTAATTTCATGCCTTCGGACCACAACTTATTCTCATCAGTCCAGTATCTTATATCAATTCTAAATCAGTCCAATTCAAGCAAGAGTGTTTTATTAATTCAACCTCAATCTTATCGCTTCCTATGAAATCGCTGTTTATCGCATTATTCCAGAATTAATTGTATAATTGGCTCATCCATCCCTCGTCCCGATCCCTGCTCACCTCTGAGTGGCGGCGTCCACAGGTTGCCAAATGTCGCTCCGATTTGAAGTAGTTCGTATTGGCAGATGACGCGGAAGCCGAAGCCAAAGGCCGTTGGAGGTAACAAAGACTGCAAAGGAGCATGCCTATAATGAGTTTGATGCGTATGGTGTGTTTTGTGATATGGTTAATGTTCGTTACCTTAATGATCTGAAATAGAACAATCTAAGAATATTACTTTCTTCATGTTATTTATGTACTCTTTCTTCTCTTCCTCCTGCTCCACTTCCACCTCCTCCTCCCCTTTTGGTCCTTTCTCTCTCCCTTCGCTCTCTATTCAGTTCTCTCGGCTCTTCTTCCCCAATTTCCTTCTACTTGCCTCCTTCCCTCTTCCCCCTCTCTTTTATCCTTTATCCTTCCCTTCCCTTCTGAGTGTTCTTCAGTTCCTCTTTAATCTTTGCTTATTCCGCTTTCCTGCATTTTCCCATTTCTTCTCTTCCTCCTGCTGCTCCACTTCCACCTCCTCTACCCTCCTCCTTCCCTTTCCCTCTCCTCTCCTGAACCACCTACAAACCCACCCTTCCCCTACCCTTCTTCTCTCCTATCCTCCACCTCCTATACTCTAGCCCCTCCCCCCCTCCCCTCCCCCTCCCCTAGCCCTCTACTCCTACCCTCCCCGCCTACCCCTTCCCTCCTCCTTCCCTCCTTTCCCTCCTCCCTCTCCCTCTCCATCCCTCCTCCTCCCCTCCCACCCCCCTACCCCTCCCCTCCTCCTTCCTCCCCCCTCCCATCCCTCCTCCTCCCCTCCCTCCCCTCCTTCACCACCCACCGAGACGAGGATGGTGTACAGGGGCGTGTGGGCCTGCACGACGGAGATGCTGATGAAGGGGACGTTGAACACCAGGAGCGCCATCACGCCCACAAACACGCCCAGGATGGCCCCGGGGACGACGCAGGACACCAGGTAGCTGAGGCGGATAGGGGCGTGTCGTTAGTTCGTGTGCGGGTCGCTGATATATCCACATGTCTTTGTCTGTCATGTTATGTATGTCATCGACACACATATACAAAATATATATAATTTCTATACTTATATAAAGATACCTGTGTCTATCTGTAAACCTATCGATCGACACACAAACACACACGCACACATACACACACAAGTGCGCGCGTCAGACCCCGACACTCATTCCAATCACTCCTGGCACCCATTCCAGTCGCTCAGAACCTGGCACCCATTCCAGTCACTCAGAACCTGGCAGATGTTACTCAGAACCTGGCACCCATTCCAGTCGCTCAGAACTGGCACCCATTCCAGTCACTCAGAACCTGGCACCTGTATGAAAACCACGATACTCATTCCAGTTACTCAGAACCTGGCACCCATTCCAGTCGCTCAGAACCTGGCACCCATTCCAGTCGCTCTGAACCTGGCACCCATCCCGAAGGCACAGCTCACCAGAAGGACACAATGCTAAGCCCGTAGCTCAGCAGGAAGGCGAGCAGGACGCCGAACTCTGCTTTGGGTTGGAGGTTTCCGAACTTGATCAGCAGCGCCAGGGCCAGCAGGATCACCACCAGCAGGAGCAGCGAGAAGAACAGCCAGGCGAGCAGGTCCACCCACGTTCTCAGTCCCATCACCTCCTGCACCTAGGTACGAGGGGGGAAGTTGAGAAGGTGGTTCTTATCTATTTTATTTTATCTATACATCTATTCATATATTTGTTTGTTTGTTTGTTTATTTGCCTGTTTGCTTATTCAATTATTTATTAATTGAAAATTTTCTGCCGTATCAACATCTAATGGCCACTAGCGTCATATTCTAAATATAAGGTGATACTTGAGGGCGAAGTTTTTTTTTTTAGTTCATAAGGAGATATTTGTGGATTCCCAGAGTTGTTCATGACAAATAAATGCGAACGACATGAACACTATAATAAAATATTGTGTCGAAGAGGTTCAAAATGATTTAACGATTAGAACAAAATATGCTCGATGTCAAAGGTTGTACAATACTGTGGGTTAGTATAGTAGTGAAAAGGGGTAGAGAGATGAAGAGCAAACGGGAGCAGAAAGGCCGTTCAGGACTGACACAGAGCCAGCCACTCATCCTTTCAGCACGGCCCCAACACTTTAGGATGTGGACAGAAGAAGGGGATGAAGAAAAGAAAGAAAATGAAAGGCGGAGAAGAAAAGACCGTGCATAATTAGTCGAGTTGAGGGCGGAGGTCCAAGGAGTGGGTCTAAGCCCCAGCCCCCAACGAGCAAGGAATTGGAGGGCTTCAATGATCTATTTCATCAATCTATCTATAAATATCTCTCTCTGTCTATACCTGCAGGTCGAGGGGAGTTCACATTATCCTTTTATTTCATCTATTTTCTTCATTTATTTATCTATTAACTTATTTGTCTATTCATGCGTTTGTCTGTTTACTAGTTTATTTATTGGTTGATCTACTATTCCAATTGTCTTATCTATCTATATATTTCTCTATCTATAACTGCAAATCGAGGGAAGTTATGTGTTAGCATTATTTCATTTTATCTTATTTCATCTAATTACTTATTCATCAATCAATTTATTTATCTTATATCAACTGAACTATCTATTCATTCGTTTATCTATTTTTTGTTTGTTTTATTTCCCTATTTCTCTTTTCTTTTCTTTTCCTTTGCATCTTATTGCATTTTACTTATTTATTCATCTACTTACTTGTTGATCTATTCATTCATATATGAATAAATTTATCTACATATCTATTCATCTATCTATCTTTTCATCTATCTATCTATCTGTCTGTGTCTATCTATCTATATCTATTAATTCATCTATCTATCCATCTATATATTCATCAGTTTATTAATTCATTTTTGAGGGGGGGAGTGTCTTAGTATGTTTATGAGATCTTTCACCTACGGAGACCTTAAGCAGTTGCCAGGACATGTATATATATGTATAATTATGAATTTTGCTTTTGAGTTTTAAAAGTCAACTCTCCTTCATCTGGTAACTATTTGTTTGACATCTGAACATAGGTATAACTTGCCTTGATTTTGTTTCGAGCTCCAGTAATTCACGGAACAGAAGTAGATGCCCTTTGCTGCGAAGGTGAATTCGCGTGAGGCAAGGTCTTGGGGGTTAAAGAAAAGGAAGCAGCAGGAAGGAATATGTGAGTTTAGGATGCCATCAGCGAGAAAATCTCCTTAAACCACTTATCTACCTGTTTGTTCCTGGACTGCCGTTCCTGGATGAGGTGTCGGATCAGGAACACGACGTAGACGGTGAACACCACGAAGGAAAAGACGAGGCTCATCACTGGCGACTCGTTCATCATCACGAGGAACCTGGCAGGTGGAGACGAAGAAGGCGTGTGCATTTCATCTTTCATTTCATCATTCTAAACTTCCTACTTTATGCATTTTAATTGGGGTTTCTGAACGTTAGATACTAAGCTTCCTATCTCTACCACTTTCCTGAGGGTTATATGAACGAAAGTCAAGGCGTGCTTAGATACAAGAGTACTAATTCATGTAGGACAAGGTACGAATGAGAATGAATAACCTCGAAGCACAAAATGGTGTATTAGATGCGTTTAATCGCACCTCTATTCCAGATAAACATTTAATCGAATCAGATCAAATCTCTCGCTCCGTGAAGTTTTTCGTTCTCATTTACACCTCTCTTCTATTTTCGCCCCAAAGGACTCTGCTCGATACTAACTCATCCTTCTCGTAGCAGGGGTACGGCTGTTGTTTAGTATACACAGGGAGGTTAAGCAACATGTCCCTCTCCGCGTCGCTCACGCCCTTCGCTGTCGCCTGCCTCTTCGCCCTTGGCACCGACTCTGCGTCCTGAGGGTTGTTGGTCCAGTACTGCAGTCTGAGGATGGCGCTGTCCATCATCTCCTGCAGCAGAAGGAATCCCTGGTGGTACCGCATGTGCACCGCCATGTTGGAATAAGGTCCTGGTCGCCAGTACCTGTCGGTGAAATGAACTCGCTTCGTTAGATGGCGCTATAAGGATTAGATCGGGACTGCGTGCATTTTGAGTGGTTAACGCGAGGATGTGGCTCTGTATGCTCACCGTGGCCCCAAGTTGAATGTAGACGGGGTTTTCTCGTAGTCGACTCTTATGGCGTACTTGAGCTTTGCCGGAACAGTCTTCGCGGTGTCTCCCGTCTTTCCTACGCCTTCGAACACGACGCCTAAAGTACAAGTGCTGAATCAGTGAATAGGTAAATCAATAAGTAAATTTGCAGATAGATAGAGAAATTAATAAGATTAATGAATTAAAATAAGTGAATAATCAAATGAATCAGGGATGCGAAGTAATCAGTTGCATCTCCAAATGACATCGAAAGGACATAATACGGACTCATAATGGCTCAAAAATCATCCCGGATCTAATAAGCAAAGCCTTTTCCCCCTGAACATGGCATGCGTCTAATGTGCCCGTGCGTCTTATATGCCTTCAAATACGTTCCTCTAAATGCACTTGAAGCTACCCGGTTTCCTCACCCGCAAGGAACCCGTACGTGTCGACCACTAAGTTGGCTTCCCTCAGCATGTCCTCTTCGGTAGCAACGGCCTGGAACCTCTGCAGATTCATGCAGGCCATGAGCCTCTCCCCGACGTCCAGAATATCAGGGAACTCCTGTCGGCAGAGGGAAGGCTAAGGTCAGTGCTGGTAAGATGAGCTGTGTGATAAAGGTCGTGTTAGGGAGGGAGGGAGAGAGAGAGAGAGAGAGAGGGAGAAAGGAGAGGGAGAGAGAGAGAGTGAGAGAGAGAGAGAGAGAGATAGAGAGAGGAGTGAGAGAGAGAGAGTGAGAGGAGAGAGAGAGAGAGAGAGGAGAGAGAGAGAGAGAGTGAGATGGATGAGGAAGTGAGGAGTGAGAGAGAGAGTGAGAGTGAGAGTGAGAGAGTGAGAAGTGAGAGAGAGAGAGGAGAGAGAGAGAGAGAGAGAGAGAGAGAGAGAGAGAGAGAGAGAGAGAAGAGAGAGAGAGAAGAGGAGAGTGAGAGTGAGAGAGTGAGAGTGAGAGTGAGAGTGAGAGAGAGAAGAGAGAGAGAGAGAGAGAGAGAGAGAGAGAAGAGTGAGAGAGAAGAGAGAGAGAGAGAGAGAGAGAGAGAGAGAGAGAGGGAG